CGGAGGAAATGGAATTAAAAATGTTTTTTACTTTTTCTTTCTCATTATTTCTTAAAATTTCCCGATCTTCTGCTTCATTTTCGTAATCAGGAAAATTCGTCCGCACGATAGTTAGGTATTGAAGAGGTATTTCTCTCTCCACCATATATTCATGGTAAGGGACTACCACTTTTTCGACTTTGTACTTGTCTTCGAAAACCAAAAAAATTTGGTTAACTTGTCCAGCTGCCAACACCTCTTTTAAATTCTTTTCAGCCGCTCTTTTTTCTTCTTCGCTGAGGGTTCCTGTTAAGAAGTCAGGGATTTCGTGAATTTGATAGCCAATGTCTTTTCCTTTAACTTTCCGAACAAATTCTTTAGATTGAGCGGTCCGATTGGTTTTGCAGGGAAAACTTTCTGGCTATTTAGCCTCCAAAAATAAGTTGTCTGGTCCGATTTCATTAACTAAATTAATAAGTGAAACCCCTAATGAAAAATATGACCGTCTGTGAGAATTGATTGAGAAGAGCGACGACGACCAAGTATTAAGTAAAAATGAAGAATTATCTGAAAAAGCAATTGGAAGTTTATGAGGTCTAAACAATGAGGATGGAAAAGAACGAAATAGAGAATCGTTAAAATTACATTGTAATTTAAGAATCTGACGGCTCAGAACTATCCGGGAAGTTACCGAGAAAATGCAGCAAAAACCGCCGGTTAGCGATAACGAACTAAACGAAGAATTAGCCAATAATTTCCCTAAATTTTTTCTAGAAGGTGAGACAACTTGACAAGCCAGAGTATGAAATGAGAAAGGAGGTGAGGGCTATTTTGATAGTCTAAAAAGTAATTATCTCTTATTCTCAGTAAAAAATATTCGAGGTTCCAAGAACTTTTTCGCCCAAAGCAATTTTAAGGGCTTAACGGAAGAGAAATTGGAAGAACTGAAAAAAAACTGAGTAAAGAAAAGCGGACTCTCTTTTTGCTCGCTTAGACCTGACTCACTTCCATCGGCTCAAAAAGCCTACAATAATGACTGGTGAGATTTAAGAAGTAATGAGGAAAGGGGAATAATAATTAAATTTGTTAAAGACAGGGGAGGAATAATTAATTACACTTTTCGAGGAATTGCTACTAAAGATGTCGACATAACCATAGTAAATAGAGAATTTTTAGAGGAAGTTCATGAAATTTTGAGAAAATTGGTGGATGCTACCGATTTAACTCCTTTTAGTGATGAAGAAATTACCAATTTTTTAAATGAAACAAGGAAGTCAAAACTGCCAATCGGCACCGAAGATCGTTTAAAGACTGCGATTAAAAATCGAAAAGATGAGATTTGAAATGCTTTCTTTGCTAAACACTCCGAAATTACTACTGACGACCAGAAAAATGCTTGACGGGACACTGACTTAAATCCAATCATTCAGCCGGGCAGAACTGAAAGTGAAGCCGATACTGTTTTTGCTAATTGAGGAGATATCAGCACTAGTGAATTTGAAATTCTTGGCAACAAGAAGGCTAAATATAAAAAAGATTATGAGATAGAATTATTGGTTCACCAAAAAGCCATGGTCGACCAAGCCATCACAATTAAGGAAAAAATTGCTAAAAGTGAAAATTATAAAGATTTTGAGAATGATGGTGAAAATATAAACCCTCTTCTCCAAAAAATTGGCAAATTGGACGATAAACTACTTCCTGGCGAGCTAAAAAATACTACTTTATCAAGGGTGTTTGAAGAGAGAAAGCTAGTTGTTTGAAAAGATACTACTATTTCTTTGATTAAAAATTATTGAAATTATTACCAGAAAATATTGACTGGCCAGGATATAAATAATTTTTTTGACAAGGACAGCGACGGTAACAATTGAGAGAGAATTGTTAAAAATAAAATAACAACCGAGGAGGTAGAAAATGAATTTAGAAAATTACGTGATAAGTTAATTGAAGGAGTTAAAAAAGTGTTCAAGGAAACTCAAAAAAACTTGGCTAATACGGATCAGAAGAAGGAATTGGATAATCAAGTAAGTTTAATAAACGATTGACAGAAGGGCGAAACAACACGGTTAGAAGACAAAATTAAGGTAGAAGATTGAAAAACTAAACTCAAAAATCTTGTCAAAATAAAAAAAATACTAATCACTGCTGCCGAAGTGCGAGATAATTTGGAGGCCAGAGCCAATTTAATCCAACATCAGATCAATGCTTTGACTGATATTAAGATTGGCGATGGTAGTAGTTCATGAGTAGATCTTGAAAATTTAATTAGCAAAAACGAGAACAAACCGGAAACAATTTTAAAAATGTTATCGGCTCAATGGAACTTACAAGAGAAAATTGACTCCATAATCCCAACTGACCACGATGGAATTTCTATTGCTTTGGAAAATTTAAGGGCTCTGATTCCTTCTAGTAAAGATAAAACTTTGAAAACCGCAAGGGGCAAGGACCAAGGGCGTTCTAAACTTAATGAATTTCAAATTAAGGCTTATTGGGAACGAAAAAAAAGAGTAGACACCAAAGAATTAGAATTAGCCAAGGCTCTGGCTCAATTAGAAAGCAAACCCGGGAAACCTTGGGAAGCACCCCTCAGCGATGACGAAATAAAAGACATTAATGGTGCCGAAAGTATTGATAATTTAAATAGCATTATCAAATACATTTTGGGGAGAGAAGATTGAAGATTATTTTTCCACGAAAAAGGGATAATTGATGAAAATGAAAAGAAGTATTGAAAAGATACTGGTCTTAATCCGGTTCGTCCAAATAATACTGGTCTAATAACTGGTTATCTTAATCCTAAATTGCCAAGTGAAGCCGACCAAGCTTGGGAAAATGGTTGAAGAAAAATTACTGAGGAAGGCTTTACTGAATATGGTCACCAAGGAGCCAAATATAGAGGCTTCTGGGTCAAATTTTTAGTTCATCACTTCGAAGGAGTTAAGTTAGCGTGCGACATTTTCTTTGAAATAGAGTCAGAAGAGGATATTAAAAGGCTAAGTAGCGAAGGAGAAATTGCTGAAAAAGTTAAGAGGTTAGAAGAAATTAAAAAAACTCTTCCAAGTGATTTAACAATTAAAGATTTAAAAGACAAGTGATTTAAAAAAGCCTTTGAGGTCTATAAAAAGGACCAAATTAAAAAGATTAAAGACTATTGAGATAAAGCCAAAAACGTACTAGTTGAAACAAGTATAGAATCGATTTTGGGCGATACTTGAGAAAATGAACTGAAAGAATTAGACAACAAACAAACAACAATTGACAATAAAAGTGACAATTTGATTAAATTAATTAACGACCAAGTAAATATTGAAAAACAGAAATTAATTGACGAGATTGTTGTGGCAGAAACAGATGAGCAACTGACCGAAGCCGAGAATAAAATTAGCAAGTGGGACGGACAAAGCAAGAATCAATTAGTTAAATTGCTAGAACTAAGGAAAGTTTTTCGCAAAGCTGCTGAAGTACTTGGAAAATCTGATGCTCCAGAAGATGAATTGAAAGCAAAAATTAACGAACTAGAAACTTTTTTTAAAGATAAAGATAAAAAAGGAAAATCAGAGACTTTCGCTGGTTGAGCCTGAAATAATTATGAGACTATTTCCAAAACCCCAAACAAAACTAGCGAACTTTTAAACCAGTTAAAAAGCAGAATTTTAGACAATAAAATTTTGGAAATAATCAGTTGCGATACAAATGACAAACTTAATACAGTTACATTGGATAATTTTGTAAAACCAGCCCAAAAGAACAAACTAACTGCTTTAAAAAATTTAGTGAAGTTGATGATTTTGGTTAAAGATGGAGAAACAAACAAAGATAATAATCAGACAGAACTTCAAAATTGGATTACTCGCTTGCGAGGATTTACGACAGCAGTTGTGAATACCAACCAACAATGAGCAGTAACTGAATGAGAAAAAGCAAAAGGCTTAGGCTCGCTAGGTGAAGTCTTGACGAGATTAGAAGCCTTGGACGCCTTGGAGATAGAACTGGATAAGAAAGTTGTAGTACCATATACTGTTTTTGGTGGACTTGGCGGTGGCGACGGGGAATTAAAAAGTATTCAGGATAATTTATTAGCCCTACAAAAATTAATTCCGCAAGATAATAATGAAAATGCGGCAGATGGAACTCCTTGCGAAGCAAGGGGGGGGGTGGGGAGTTGCTGACGCATTAAACGCTGCTCAAATTAATGCTTATAAAGTAAAAAAAACACGAGTGGATGCTAAAGAGTTAGATTTACTTCGCCAAAGAGCCAAAAAAGTAGATGATAATGGAGTTAAGTGGAATGGAGAGTTAGTGGAGGAAGATCAAAAACTAATCGACGATGCTGAGAAAAAAGATTTGAAAAAGATTCAGACCAGAATTCGTCTCGAAAGACCCTGAAGAGAGTTCTTCAACAATAATGGAATTAATGACTTAGACCAAAGGAAAGCCTGAATAGATAGTAATTTCTCCCCGAAAATACCTTCATCTTGATCTCTTCTGCCTCTTTGCTCAAGTTTAAGTGAAAGTGAGATAGTTCTGGATAATGGTTGGACTGATTTATTTGCTAATAGCCCAGACAGCGGAATAGGAAAAATTACTAATTGGCGAAGTAAATTAGACAAAAGTTATAAGGTTTTTGACTATACTTCGTGAGGCATTACTACAAAAGAAGTTGATGCGGTGGAAGAGGAAAAATTAGAAATCGATAAATATCACTATCAAGCCGCTTTTAAAGGCTACAGTTCATGGGCCCAAAAACAACATGTCACTAAAATAGAAGAATGAAGAAATAAAAAATATCCTCCGTGGGAAGCCGCCCAGCATTTTCAAAATGGCTGAGAGGTTAGTGAAGCCGCAGACTTTGATAGTTCAGGACGAGGCACCGCCCAAATCGGTGGAAGCGGCAAATGGCATAATATGACACAGAAAAAACTGGATGTCAAAAAGCATTTGGTAAGCGAAAAATTGAAATTAACCTTGCAGAATGCTAATCCACCGGTATCGGAAGCCGACATTAAAAAAGAATTAAGCATTTCCCCCTCCTGGAAAGAGTATATAGAAAATGCATCAGAGATAGACTTAAATGCCCGGGAAATTAAGGTTACCAATGCCATCCAAAAAATAAGGACAGAAAAAATTAGTTATCGACAGGCGTTTGTTAATGCTAGTGTCAATCTAACTGATACTATTATTTGGATTTTCTGAGACAAGGGAATAGACTCTAAAACGGCCATCCAAGCCAGCCAAGAAGGGGTAAATCCAAGTCATATTAAATCTGATGGCAAAATAAATATTGAAGGCAATGATTATGACTTAAAAAATTCAAATTGACTCAGTCAATTAGTTCGCAACCGTGCTATTGCAGCAGAAAACCGGAAATATGACGAGTTGCTAAATAAGATTAAACAGGCCCAAACGGAGGCAGAGGTAGAGGCAATTGATATCAAGATTGACGAAAACTTGATTACTCCACCCCGCAATAAACAGGAATTAATTGATTCTAAAACAACCAGCAAAAATGAAATTGCGAAACAAGAGGCGGCAGTTAAGGCTCTGGCAGATGCCAAAGACCAAGCAAAAAGTAAAGACGCAGACGGTAATGATTGAGATCCGCCATTGACTCCTACTGAAATTAAGCAAATTGAGGATGCAAAGGACCTGGAGGCACTCAAAGAAGCCCAAATGATAATTAAAAATGCTCGGGAAGAGGAAAAAAATCCTGATCCAGAAAAAGAAAGTCCAACAACTCCTCCTCAACAACCAACTCCTCCGCCTTCTCCAACTCCGGAAGAAGAAAAGGAAAAATTTGGGGAAGACTATGCCGAACTAAAACTAATTCAACAAGAAGGAAGAAAAAAGATTGTGGAAAACTGAAAAAAAGAAGAAAATTATGAACGTAGTAAAACTTGTCGTTATTGCCCGCAAGAGTTTCATTATGATAAAAGTTTAGAATATTTGCTGGCCAAACAAAAGGCAGAAAAAGAATTGGAAGAACATGAGACCGCTTGCCCTGTCAAGAATAAGACAGAAGAAGTGAAAAAGATCAAGCAAGAGAACTGAGAAAAGGTTAAAGCGACAACTACTCGTCATTTTTATTCTTGCCGAAAATGTTGAGGTAAAATTGAATTAGATAAAGGTATTGCTGATTGAGAAGAAGCCAAAAAACAAGGTCGGGCTGATGTGGCTTACCACGAAGAACACGAATGTGGCAGTGAAGGTTCTAAAAAGATTGCCATTTACTTCTCTCCAAATCAAGGTGGAAATGGGCATGCCGATTTAACTTATGCCGAAAAGATTAAAGAAAATGAATTAACTTTGGAAAAAGATAATCAAGGTGAGATTTATCAGGAGCAAGAAGATAACAATAATAAGGGAACTGATTGAACTCCATGGATAATTGGAGTAGGTGTAATTTTAGCAGCGGGAGCGATTATTGCTTGATTGACTAAGAAGAGAAAAAACAAGGAAAAAAAATAATTTTTTAAAAATTAATATTATTACAGAATTACAATCATTAGAAAGGATTGATTATTAAGAAGAAAGAGATTTTAAAAAAATACCTCCTAAATTCAGAAAAAAAATTTCCTAATGTCTCTGACTTAGTTAACCAAAATGCTTCAAGAAAACTCAAAAAAATATAAACAGTATAAAACTTATGAAAAAAAAGAAATTTGTGTTAGTTCTCATTTCTGGACCTAGCAGGGTCGGAAAGAGTGAAGTGGCAAAAAGACTATTAACTAATCGAGAGTTAAACATTCAACAAGTGGTTAACACTACTACTCGCTCGCCACGAATTGGATTAAAAGCAGTTTAAGGAAATATTTTAGGAAATTGCCTAATATTACCAAATACCATCACTTCCTTTTTAGTGATATTAAAGAGATTAGAGAATTGGTATTTCCAATTCTAACTCCTCCGCCTTTAACTATTGAAAAACAGCAATTCCTTATAAGAAAATTAGACCTTTGGTTAAGGAAGAGTTTAGAGATGTGGTTTGTCCGAAGCCAATAATGATGATAGATGGTGGTGATGTTCTATAAAATTTGAACAGCAAGAGGAGGATTGATCTTTCAAGTTTTCAAAACAAATCATTAAAATTAATAATATGACAGTGGTTAAAGACAGAAGTGCTGATGCAATTCCAGCATTGGAAGTAGCAAAGTTCTTTCTTTCTTTAGATCAAGAGAGAAGGTATTTTGTTAGTGAAAAAATGGTAGAGATAGAAGGGCAATCTACGCCGACCATTGGTAATCTTCGTCTTAATAAATTATTACAAATTACTCAAATGCTTTATGCCGCAAAAGAGGGAAAATGATTGTTTGAAGACAAGTTTTGGGCTTTCGAGCATGGAGGGATAATTTATGAAGTTTATCGACAATTTCATTTTTTAGTTAACAATCATCACACACCATTCAAAAGTAAAGGTATAAGTTCCTACCTAAAAATTTTCTTAACTAAAATTTTTAATTATTTTAACTCTTATACTGATAGACAATTAGAAGAGTTTGTTAACGAAGATCCAGCTTGATTTAATATTTGAGAGAGAAAAAATGTTCGTGGTAGCAAGGAAATGCCTCAAAGCCCAGAATTGATTAAGTATTACCAAAATTTTGTTTCACATGTAGTTGAGTTAGTGGAAGCCCAAGAAAAATAAAAAAACTAAATGAGCAAAGAACCAAGAACTAACCAAATTGTTTTTATTGATCTTGGTTTCAGAACGAAATTATACTTGATATTTAAGATAACCAGATTTGAAAAAGAAGGGAAAACATTTTTTTGTCTTTATTTATTACCTATCACTTCGGAAAAAGATGAAGAAATCAAAGAGGAACAAAAACCATTTGTTGTTCAATACCAAATTCGTCTACTTCCTAATTGTATGGAAATCAATCCTTCTTTTGTTAGGTTTCATAGACATGCGGAATTAATGAACATAGAGAAAGACAAACTATCTAAGTTTCTGTGTAAAAAATGTCCTCAAGGATGCTTTAAGCGACTTGAAGACAAAAATCAAAATGAATACGATTTTATCGTCAAAAAGCACCAAGATTATCGTAATGATAAACTAAATACTCTCAGACTATTAGAACCTTTTAATGTTGATTGAAGTAAAAAGGAAAAAAGTAAAGAAAAATAATTAATTTTTTAAATAATCAAGAAAGGTTAGAATTAGTGTTTAGAAAGATAAAAAGTATATAAAGAAACTGAAACTTGAAACTAGTAAGTTAACCCTTTTAATAAAGTTTGAGAAAAATGATAGAAAAAGGAGATAAACAGACAGTAAATACTTAATCTTAGAGTTAAATAAAAATAAAATTAACTTAATATTGTTGTATATATAATAATGTCAAAATCAATAAGTGGTAATTTTTCCCACCCAGTTTATAATTGTTGTTCGCAAATACCCAAAGGTAAAGTTTCAACCTATAAATATATTGCTGAATTTCTTCATATTCCTCCACAAGTAGTCGGGCAAGTCCTCAAAAACAACCCTTTTTCTCCCGCCGAAGTTCCCTGCCACCGGGTTATTGCTACTAATTTTTTCATTGGAGGATACCATGGCGAATGAGGAGAAGGCGAAAAAGTTGCCGCCAAACGAAAACTATTGTCCAAAGAAGGAGTGTTTTTTGATAAACAAGGCTATTTGCTAAGAAATTTGCGGAAGAAAGTTATTTTTAATAATTTTGTGTAAGGCAAAAAATTTTCTCTTTTTTTGAATAAAATTAAATAAAAATGCCTTTGGTTAAAGAAAAAGATAATAAACAACGAACAAAAAATGAAGTAGAAATTGTGGAAGTTAATTTAGAAAAAATTGTTTTTAAAACTACTTATCCTTGAGCCTTTTGTTTAAATGCTAATCAGGAGGACAAATTAAAACATTATTCTCTTCCAACGAATTTTCTTAATTATCAAAAGTTGCAAAAAATAGTTCCAGATTATGATTTCTCTTCAATCATTACTAGTGTTTCGACGATTAATACCAACTCTCTTTCCCTCCGCGACTACCAGATTTCGGATGTAAAATTTCTTAGTCAATTAAAAAGCGTGGCCATTTTCAGTGAAATGCGGACGGGAAAGACTCCCATTGCCTTAATGACCTTTCAGAAATGACCGGTAAGCAATCTATTAATTATCACTCCCAGTATTTTACAACAGCAATGACAAAAATCCGTAGAAGAGTGGCTAGTTAAACCCGCCTATATCATTACTTATCTAGACAAAAATTGACGTTATGATTTTTACCAAAAATTACTTACTGAACCAGAATTAATTATTATTGTCTCCAAAGACACTTTTAAAATTGACAGCCCGCGTTTTAAGAAAATCGCAAAAAAGCCAGGAACAAACCCTCTTTATTGCGTTATTGTGGACGAAGCCCATTTTCTTCGCAATCATCAATCGCAGCAGAGCAAAAGTATTTACACCCTCAAGAATGCTCCCTACAAAATGGCTCTTACGGGCACCCCCGTTGTTAATCGCTCACCTGACATATTTGGTATTCTCAAATTCCTGGACCCCGAAACTTACTCTTCTTACTGAAAGTTCGCCGAACAATATTTTTATATCCATAAGTCAGAGATTCGTAGAGGGAAAAAAGTATACAAAATTTTTCAAGTCAAAGATTTTAAAAACGATTATCTGCGCCGAGAATTACAAAAAAAAATTAGTCAGTTTTCGGTCAACCGAAGACAAAAAGAAGTTTTGCCTTGATTACCGCCAGTTATTTATCAAAAAGAATATCTGCTCATGGAAGAAGAACAACAAAGTACTTATTCCCAATGACGAGAAAAATGGAAAGATTACCAACCACTCGAAGTATTAGCCAACTTAAAAACCCTCACTCTTTACCCGCCAGCTTTAGGCTTACCAGGACCAGGCAGTAAAATCAATTATCTGCTGAGCTTTCTGGCCGAAAGAAAAGGGCAGAGTATAATCGTTTTTTCCACCCGCAGTGAAACTTTTTTGGAGCCCTTAGCCCAAGCCTTAGCCGAAAAAAAAATAGCCACTGGACTTATTATTGGCAAAACTAGTTATCAGGAAAGGGAAGGATATATTGAGGAATTTCAAAAAGGAGAATTAGACATTTTACTTTGTAATATCCAAAGTGCGGGGGTGGGATTAAACCTGAGCCGGGCCGAGACCATTATTTTTGCGGACCGCAGTTATTCTCCGGCCGATAACGAACAAGCCGAAGCCCGTTTTTTGCCGACCACTAATTCCGAACCCTCTCGCGTCCGTTTAGTAATTGACCTTATTTGCAAAGGAACTATTGATGAAAAAATACTCCAATTACTCAAAAGGAAAGAAGATATAATTAAAGTTCTTAATGATAACCCTAGTTATTTTTTTACTTAATTTTTATTATTACTTTTGGCTAAGAATAGAAAAATATATACTATATCAAAATTAAATGTCCCCTCGCCAAAAAAGGTCTAAAAAAAAAATTGCTTTTCTTTTAATTATTATTTTTTCTCATCTCTTTCCGCTGATTGTTTCGGCCTTTTATGACAAAGCCACTCATACTAATCACAATGTTAAGTTAAGTGAATTAAGGTATTGATTATGGGCCTTTACTTGATGGTCGGCTTGGGCTTCCTTATTAACGGTCCCCTGAGCAATTTATAAATTATTCACTTTGAAAAGAAAAAAAAGTGGTTTTGGCGAACAAATGTGCGACATAATGGTAGCCGAAACCAATTTCCTCAGCGGAGTTATTTTTTGCTGTGGAGGGTTTTATTTAACTCTTCACACCGCGTTCAAAAATCCCGTAATAACTTACCCCCTTTTAGGAAATGTCAAAACAATGTATGTTTGACTTATTTATAATTTCTTTTGACATGTTTTAGCGCCCGGCCTGGTTTTTTATTATTTTTGAAAATATTGCCAAGTTGACAAGTTAGCAAAAAAAAAATCACTTGGTTTAACTGTCAACGCGCTTAATCCCACCACCTACTTCTTTTACATTATGTTGCGACCACTAGTAAGTAATTTTTCTAAGCTACCTTCTACCCCACCTCACCATTACCCTCCAAATTATCCTTATCCTCCTTTTTTTTGGATTATGGGAGAGTTTGCTAATGGTACAGAGCAAAGGGCAGGAAGAAGTAAATTTTTATTTTGAAACTGGCAGCCAGGTTGATTACCAGGTTTAATTTGACTGGCAATAACCGTTATTTTTTGATATATAGTCTTTTCAATTTTATTCCACTTCCTAGTAAAAATAAAGAAAGAAAAAATCATATTACACTAGAAACATTAATAATTGGCAAATTGTCTAAACAATAGGTTTAAATTTCAATAAGTTAGCTAAGTCACTATCTTTAATGTATAAGGCAGTAGTGGAAACTCGACTATGGCCCAAAACTTTTTGTAAGATGTTGAGGGGCATTCCTGCTAAGAGGTTATAGGTGGCAAAACAGCGACGAAGAGTGTGAGGCGCTAATTCAATATTGGGACTAATATTTAAATCATAACGAACTCGATTCAAAAACTCTCAAAAATCGCGACGAGTAGTTTGGTTGGGTTGTCAATTATACTTTCTTAGTATTTCAGTTATTTCTGGTGAGACATAAACATAACGGTCTTTTCTTCTTTTTCCACGCAGCAAATATAAATCTTTATATTCCGGTTCTGGGTGGTTTAATTCTAAATTAAAACTAATAGCCTCAGTTACTCGCAAACCAATTTTTCAACAGAGGAGAAATAAACAATAATGGAGTCATCTTTTTCTTTCACTTTTATGATTTGGCCGGGCGGCAATAAACTCCTGAATTTCCTGCAAAAGCTGCTGGGAAGGAAGTTGCTGTAAGCGTTTTCTTATTTTTTTCATGACATTTATTTATATAACAACTGGTCGAAATTAGTTTTCTCTGATTCATTGTAAAACGACATGCCTCAAACGATATATTTTTATTCCCTATTTTTACCATTAAAAAATATTAGTGGACATTAGAGATAAGAAATTATTATTGGCTTTTTTTATTGAAGAGTAAACGTGTAAATCTTTATATTCTCGCCTCTTCAATCAATCTCTCGCTTATTATAAATATGTATACATCCATGAACTCTCAGTCGGGTTCATATTCAGCATATTGTATCAATATTTTTCCTTTGGGAAGAACTTCTTTAACAACTTCTTCTCTATCAGCTCTTAGTTCATAGTCAGATGACTCTATACACTCTTTGTAATATTTTCTATTCTCTTTTACTGGAAGAATTATTAACTCCTTTTCTAACTCTTCTTTCCCTCTCTTATTAGTTCAGCCATGATATTTTTGACTGACTCGTAAAAGGGAATTGAGAAACAAACCACGATAAATGTTTAGAGATGAATAATCTTCTTTTAGCTTTAGTATAGCCACATCGCTATTAACACAAAAGGGTTTATCCTGATAAAAATTTAAACAATCTCCATTAGTAGCAACAGTTAACATATTTCCTAAATAAGTTTTTGTTGCCGAACGAAAATGAATACCATTATTCTTCGAAGCAGTAGTAATATAGTTATTATCTCCTCACTTAACTTCTCCCATTTTTAAACAATCTTCTTTTTTAGACTTTTGGACATTAAATATTCTTCCAACTTGGAAGGGTCATCACTTTTTTTTATCTAGATCTGACCACTGATTAACTTCATTTTTTAACCTCTCTAATTTTTTGCTTAATTCAGAATAAAATTTATCTTTTTCTTTAATCATTTCTAACTGTGCGGCAATTTGTTTAACTTGCTCCTTTTTTTCCAATATCTCCTTAATCCTATGAGGTATTTCAGTTTTTACAACTAAATCTTTCCAAACCAATTGCTTTAAAAACTTTAAGTTTTCACCAATTTTATCACTGGCTTTTAATTCCAAATTATTTTTTTTATTTTTTCACTTGTGAAGCAAATAATTATAGATAACTGTTCACTCATTTGGCTGCTCTTTTTTTAATTTTTCTTTTTCTTTTGTATTTCCTTTTTCTTCTTCATAGTTTATCCTTAACTTTCGATCTAACACTCCTGCTTTTTCCTCAATTTTATAAAGAAGAAATTCACTTATTACTTTCTCAAATAGTATTTTTCCTTTACTAGGATTAACAATAAATAGTTCGGTGAAATCCTTTTCAATTTGTTTTTTTTGTTGGTAATGAAAACTCCAATCATCCTTGACACTAACATCAGTAACAACCAGAGAGTATTTTGCCTTTTCGTTCTCCTCGTCGTCCTTTAAACCTTTTAGGTATTTTAAATCTTTTCATAAATCATTCTTTATTTCAATTCATTTCTTGTTTTTATCTTTACGAATTTTTTTAACTAACTTATGACCATCACTGACTAAATTATAAAAATAAACCTTGTCTCCTTGTTGATGAGAACTTTCAGTTTGAAAGATAACAATTTGAGTAGGAACACTAAGAGGATAAAATAACTGGCTTGGCATTTGGATAACAGCCTTGAGAGTATTTTGCTTATAAATTTTTTCTTTGATGTCTTTATTTAATTCAGATTTATTAGTAAAAGTAGAAGTAGGCACAATCATCGCTGCCCAACCATTTTTCACAAATTTTAATAGTTGTTCGGCAAATTTAATTTCTGGTTGTTTTGGATCAGAGTAAGGGGGATTCATTAAACCAATGCTTGGTTTTTTAGAAATTTCTTGCTTGACAAGACAATTTCCTTGTTCTAGATTAGCTTTGCCGTCTCCTTGAATTAACATGTTAGCTACAGAAAGAACAAACATCCCCGGATGCCTTTCGATACCAATTAAATTTTCCTTAGCTTCTTCTTTGTTATTGTATTCCCTAATCTGATGCTTCATAAAAGCTAGTAAGAAACCTCCTGTTCCTGCACAAGGATCTAAACAAATATCTTTTTCAACGATTCCTCTTTTTCCCTCCTCAAAATTAGCTTTGAATTTATCAATCAATTCAACCATTAACTCAGTGATGTGACAAGGAGTAAGTACAATACCTCTGTCCCCATCTCCCCGTCAATGCTCAAGAAACGCCTGATAAAACTTAGCTGCCAAATCATACCCTTGAAGGGATATTATTTCCAATGCTTGATAAACCTTTACAAACACTTTTACTAAAGCAGCACTATTTTCTACTTTATTGATAACTCAAACAATAGAGTCATTTACTGTTTTTACTTTTTTGTCTCGTTGAGCATCAGAAAGAGACTCCTTTAAAACTCTTATCAGGTCGCTATGTTCTTCTTCTTTGTCAGCTTTGCCTTCTTTTAAAAAATTACTTTTTATTTCTTGACCTATAATTTCAATTTCCTCATTCTCTAATAGTTCCTCTCCTTTTTGCAATGTTTCTTTATATTTTGAAATTATTCCTCTTATTTTACTACGAATGTATTTTTCTTTCTTTATTGGTTTGCAAAGAGTAATTAGTGCTCCCGCAACAACCATCGGTTTGTCGTTTCCACCTAATTCTCTTAATAGTCGACTAGTATCTCGAGCTAAACTAATAATTTTGTTTTCATCCGTCTCTTTATCAACATTGTTTTTTTTAACCACAAATAGATCCAAATATTTTTCTTTACTTGCCAAGAAGTTTTCCAGACGTTTAACAAGAGTAATTTTCTTTTCTTTAATAGTAAAAGTAGCAATTTTAAAATTGTCTTCCTCACTAATATTTCCTGAAATAGCTAAGCCAACTACTTTATAATCAATGGATAACTCTTCAAAAAAACTTAAATAATGTTGAATATCTTCAATAGCTTTTTTTTGTTGCGAAGTTTTCTCTTTAACTTCTACCAGAAACAAAAATTTTTCTTCTTCACTACAATAATAAATATCAAGTTTGCCTAGTTCTCCTGTTTTTGCTTTTGAAGCTTTAGAAAGGATTTGGCGAATTGATTGATTACTAATGGCTTTAGAATCTTTTGTATTAGGTTTAAATTTTAATAATTCTGCGGAGAAGTTGTGCTTATCTACTAAAGCGTTGTAAATTTTTAGAACTTCGCTGTCTTCTGACATAAAATATTTATTTTTTCTTATTAATATTCTTTAATTGATGAATTTTTTATTTCTTTTAACCAATTCAACTTAAGTCTCCTTTGGAGTAGGTAACTAATCTTGTTTTCTTTTCTTTGACATGCTACTTCTTAAAAGTTTTATATATTCTATTTTAATAACTTAAACAGAAAAGCACTCCCAGATAATTTGATAGGAGGCAATGTCTCTGCAAATAAATTGTGCATAAGGCAATCAAATATTTAATTTTCCTCTTTTTGTATTTATTTCTAACCATCCAAACATAAAACATGATAAATAAACTCACCTCTATCTAAAAATACCATTTATTCCCGACCTAATTAGCCATTATGAGAGGAATAAAAATAAAAGACAATTTAAAATGACATATAATAAATAACCTCATTTTTTACTGGACTAAAAATCCTTGAATAGTTTTATAAGCAAGAAATGAAAATCACCGCAAAAAATAAGAAAAAGTTAAATAAGAGCCAAAATTAGACATTTTTTTTGCAAGATTACCACCACTCACTATGAATATTGCTTTAAAATTAATCTAATGAGTGAAAAAAAAGTTATTTTAGCTTTAAGCGGAGGGGTAGATTCAGCAGTGAGTGCTTATCTCCTAAAAAAGGAAGGCTATGAAGTAATTGCCGTTTTTATGCAAAATTGGGATGATTACCTCGGGGTGCAACAAACAAGTATTTGTTCACAAACTCAGGATTGAAATGACGCTCAGGAAGTTGCTCGCCAACTAAAAATTCCGATTTACAAAGTGGATTTTATCAGGGAATATTGAGATAAGGTATTTGCTAATTTTCTCCTTGAATTAAAAAAAGGTCTTACTCCTAACCCCGATATTTTATGTAATAGCGTGATTAAATTTCATTATTTTATTGAATATACAAAAAAAAATTTTGCTGCTGATTTTATTGCTACCGGCCATTATGCAAAAATAGTTCAGGAAAGAGAAAAATGTTATTTAGCAAAACCGAAAGATGCCAATAAAGACCAAACCTATTTTCTGTGCCAGATTGACCGCCATTTATTAAGTAAATTAATTTTTCCTTTGTCTGATTTAACCAAAAAAGAAGTACGCCAAATTGCTGAAGAAGCAGGCTTAATTAATGCCCAAAAAAAAGATTCAACCGGCATTTGTTTTATTGGCGAGCGAAAATTTGAAAACTTTCTTGCTAATTATTTTCCTAAAACTGAAGGCGAAATCATAGACATTGACAGCCAAAAGGTTATTGGTAAGCATTCAGGAATTCCTTACTTTACTATTGGTCAAAGGCGCAATTTAGGACTGCAAGGACAAAAAAAACCACACTATGTAGTAGCAAAAAATATCGAAAAAAATGTAATTTACGTGGCTGGCGGTTGGGACAACAAGTGATTATATAGTAGTTGGTGTACGGTGAAAAATGTTAACTGATTAGTGACAGAAAAAGAATTACATAAATATTTCGATCAGCAAAAAATAACGGCTAAATTTCGTTATCGACAGCCGGAAATACCAATAAAGAGGATTCTTCGCATAAATACTTTTACTATTTGTGGTAATAGCCCTTATAACTATCAAGACGAATTTTTAGTAGAATTTTATGAAAAACAAAGAGCCATTACCCCTGGCCAGTATGCGGTTTTTTATCAGAATAATATTTGCTTAGGAGGAGGAGTAATTATCAACACAGAAAGAAATAGAGAAAATGGCGAGTTAAAATTTTAAGGCGCTGGGATTTTTGTTGATTAATTCACTTTTTTTGGCCTTGTTGACCGAGAAAGAAGAACCATTTCTGGCACAGCAAGCAGAACGACGATAGCGATAAAAACTAAAATTAAATATTTTTTGGAAGAAGTTTTTGTCATTAAATTGTGAAACTAACAGAAGTCTTTTTCCAAAAATCCCATTAATTCCTCGCACTCTTTACCCAAGAGTTAACTTTTTCGCTTGTATGTGTTAAGCACAATTTTTCTATCTATGCTTTTAGCGAACTTCAATCCTTGGCCTCCAACTTTTCTTTTGTTTTTATTTCTAATTTGTGTTGATGTTGTGATTAATATATATTTTTCCGCCTCTTCTTCACTTATTTTTAGTTAGCACTAGCCTAGCAAGAAACTAGGCTAGTTAAAATTATATTTTGATTTTAAACAGTAAAAAGTCTTTATTTATTATAAGGGTGGTATTCAATTTGATTAGTCATCTGTTCCTCTTCACCTTCTCCATAATAAGCGTCTTTTGCTTTTACTGCTAACTCAGTCGCTATGCCGACTACAGTATTTGTTTTTACGGCAGCCATCGCTACTTTGCTGGCTTCTCCAACCGCATTGTTCGCTACACCAGCAACTTCATGGACAGCGTTATCAACCAAACTCAAAGCGCTGCCAATTACACCAATAATGCCCTTCTCTTCTTCTATTCCTAATGCTTTCTTAATCTGCCTTATTTCCATTTCGTTAAACTCTCTTAATAAACATAGCGAGTCAGACGATTCAGATACTACTTCCTCGGGATCAATTTCACCTGATAATGAAAAGTGAATAAGTGCTTCTTCTTTTATTGGTCCGCCCATTCCTAAAAGAGAATAACCAGTAGTAACCTCACTAATTAATCAATCTTCGGGATTATTTTTAACTTCTTGAATTATTTTAATTTTATTTACCATATTTAGTTTTATTTTTATTACTTTACTGTCAGATTATTTACCAGTTCTAACAACTGAACAACTACTTTTTTTAATTAATAACTTAGAGCCAGAAGTAATTAGTAAAAAACTAGTCTAAGTATTTTTTTATCTACTCCAGACGGAAAAGATAACGAAGATATTTTTGGGAATAACACCCTATTTATTGTGGCTATCTAGTATAGCAAAAAAAAGTATAAGGAACTAGCCTGATACAAAAAATTGTTTTTGTTATGTTAGAGTATTGCTTTCATCCTTTTTTGTTTTTCTTAGTCATCGTTAATTAATTTTATATATATTTTTGATTTCTTATTATATTATAGAAATACATAAATATCTAATTCTTGTAGTTGTTTTCTAATGGCATCAGCCTGGATATAATTGCCTTTGGCTTGTAATTTTTGTCATTTTCTAATTAATAATTTAGTTGTTAAATTATAAGGAGATAAGTCAAATTTAAAGCCCAATAAGTCAAGGGTAAAATAAAAATCACTAATTGCCTTTTGTAATTCTTCACTATGTCCTTTTCTCTTATCGATGATTTTATTAAGCGAATTAATGGTTTGTTCCAAAAAGAAAAGAACTTTAACGGTATTAAGATTATTCAACAGATTAGTAATTATTTCTATCCTCTTTGGTGTTTCTAGTTGAGTAATTTTTATCATTTCCCTATATAAATAAAAATTCAGTTTTTTCAGCAAATTTTTAATTTTTTGAGTATAATCAATTGCTTGTTGAATTAATTCTTTACTGAGATTAATTACTTGATTATAACGAGTGTTTAAAATCAGATAACGGAAAGCATTAGGACCATATTTTTGCGCGAAATGTTTCGCGAGAATAACATTACCGAGTGATTTTGACATTTTTTCTTTTTTTCAATGAATATGAGCGATATGTAGTCAAATTCGGCTTAATTCTCTATTATTAAGGGCTAAATATTGAATTCTTTCATTTTCATGATGAGGAAATAGTAAATCGTTGCCACCCCCATGAATATCAATGGTTTGGCCGTGAAAAAATTCATTAATAAATACGGAGCACTCAGTGTGTCAGCCTGGTCTTCCAACTCCTCAAGGTGATTCTCAGGTTATTCCCTCAGCAGTCTTTTTTCACAGCACAAAGTCTTTATTGTTTTCTTTACTGGTTTGATTTGTTCCCCGCACATTGGTCTTTAATTTTTCCAGATTTTGTCCGGAAAGTTTGCCATATCCTTGACTTTTTTCGATACTAAAAATAATTTCTCCTTTATGCTGGTAGGCAACTCCTTTTTCTAATAAAGTGCTAATAAATTCCTGAATTTGGGGAATATAATTAGTTACTTGTGGCAAGTAAGTAGGAAAAAGAACATTATAACGAACTAGATTAGCCAAATAAGATTTAGTATAATGATTGCTAATTTTTTTTTCACTTTTTTTTTCCTGTTGGGCTTTGGCAATTATTTTATCATCAATGTCAGTAATATTCTGGATATAATTTACTTTCAGACCTAAACTTAATAATAAGCGGTGAAGAATATCAAAAATAATCACTGAGCGCAGATTGCCAACATGAATATGATCGTAAACAGTTGGTCCGCATAAGTAAATGGTGATAGTTTGACCTGCCCGAAGTTCTATTTTAGTAATTCTATTTTCGAGACTATTAAATAGTTGGAGTTCCATTAAACTAATTTTGTGGAAATCAATTAATAGTTTAGGTTTTGTTTCAATTATTTTTTTAGTTAATTTGATAGCAATTTCGCACTCATAATCAATCAGAATTATTATCCTCAAATCAGAAAACTACTAAATAATTTTTATCATGATAAAGAGTTTTCTCCAAAACATAAATATCGCGGTTTTTAACTCTTTTTTGAGGTTTCATTCTTTTTCTCCCGTTTAATTTCTCTTTTAAAAGGTCCAAGATTAGTTCTTTGGTAATCTTTTCTCGACCTTTTTTCCCTCAAGGATGGTCGGTAATAGTGATTTTGGTGATAATTCTCCTTTTAAAAGTAAAAGTGAATAAGCAAGAGTAAGTTCATTGATTTTCTTGGCAAATTGGACTAAATTCCTCTTTAATTAATTTAAACCACTCAGACATGGGAAGTATCTTTTTTTTGTTCGACAATGACTTTTATTTCGGCCGGAGAAAATAATTTACTAACCGCATTTAGCAAGTTGTCTCAATTAACTTTGGCAATCCGACAAAATAAAATGTCTTGGGTTTCAGGTAGAGTTAGATTTATTTTTTGGGATATTTCCTCATCACTTAAATTATTATCCTCCTGATAGCCTAATATTTTCTCACATAGTTCATATTTAACTAACTGGGAAGGGGTTGGATTAGCGGGTAAATCTCAAAAACCCTGACCGATATTTTTGGGATCTTCGGCTTCTTGAAGAGCCTTTTCAAATTCTTTATCTCGTGGCATATTAAGTTATTTTTAAATTTTGCCGGGTTTCAGCAACGTTTTTAATTCCTTCCCGTTGGGAAAATCGGCAACCTTCCATGTATTCTTTGACATTTTCAAATTTTATTTACAACTTCTTTGAATATTTTATTAAGTTTTGCTGGATTTATATGCAAATTTTAAAATGCTAATCAGTAATTAAATAGATATAAAATAAGTAATACATTATTCTAACTCTTTTACTATGAATAAGATTCGCCAACTTTTTCCTTTTTTTAATTATTACAAAAATCTTGTTTATTTAGATAGTGCTGGCACTAGTTTAAAACCTAAAATTGTTATTCAAGCCATTACTGATTATTACCAAAAGTACTCAATTAATAGTCATAGTGGCAGCAATAACCCTTTATTTAATGAAGTCTGAACAACCATTCAAAAAGCACGAGAAATAATTGCTAAAAAAATTAACGCTGGAAGCGAAGAAGTTATTTTTTTCCCCTCTACTACTTATTCTTTAAACCTTTTGGCCTTTTCTTTGAAAAATTGCTTAGAAAAAGGAAATAAGATTTTTTTAACTCATTTAGAACACAGTTCTAATTGTTATCCTTGGCAGGCCATTGCTCAAGAAAAATTAGCCCAAGTAGACTTCTTACCTCTAAGTAAGGATTTCATGATTGACACTAATAAATTAGAAAATTATATTGACCAAAAGACCAAAATAGTTAGTTTTTGCCATTTAAGTAATAGTTTGGGAGTAATTAATCCCGTCAAGGAAATTACTGAAAAAATTAGAAAAATAAATCCCAATTGTTTAGTAATAGTTGATGCTTGTCAAAGCATCGCCCATTTACCAATTAATGTTAAAGAGTGAAACATTGATGCTCTGGTTTTTTCCGGACACAAACTTTGCGGACCAACCGGAATAGGGGTTCTATGGTTAAAAAAAAAAGTGGGGCAAAAATTACCGGATATATTATGAGGAGGCGGAAAAAAAAGTAGTCCTAATCAGAAAATAATTTATCCTCTACCCTTAACCCAAAAATTTGAAGTTGGCACTCTGCCCTTAGCCCAAATTTTTGGTTTGCGAGCCAGTTTTGAATTTCTTAATAGTTTTGATAACGAGAAAATAAGTAATTATGAAAAAAAGTTAAAAGATTATACTCTCAAGGAATTAGCCAAATTAGAAAAAGTAATCATTTATAACCAAAATTTATCAGAAAATGCTGGCATTATTCTTTTTAATTTACAAGGCTATCATCCTCATGATGTTGCTGATTATTTAGGTAAAAATAATATTTGTGTTCGGGCTGGTGATTTTTGCTGCCCTTATCTCAAAGAATTAATTGGAGTAGAGGCGGCCATAAGAATTTCCCTTTTTATTTATAATACGAAGGAGGACATTAATAAATTAGTATATTATCTGAAAAAATTAGAAAAACAGCCCGAGTTGGTTGTGAATTTTTTCAATTCAAATTAAGTGAAAATTTTTTTTGTTCTAAATTCTTATTTGCTAATTAGTATTTTCTTTGCGGGGTTTTTGTTTCACGAAATAAAAAGTCATTCCCGCTACAATGACTATCATCATCACAATTCCAAATATCCCTAGTGGTGTCCTATATCATGGCGGATTTTCTTGGGAGGGATTATTACTTTCAAATTTGGCTTTTATAGCCTTTCATTCTTTAACTTTTGCTTCCATTTTATTTACCAAATTTTTTAAGGCTTCTTGCTGAATGGTTGAGTAAGTTTTGATGATTTTGCTTTTTTCGCTATCTTCGACAAACTTTTTAAGTTTGTTTAATTTGTCTTCCAAATCTTTTAACTGGGTTTTTCAATCACTATAATCGAATAACGCTACCGTTATCAATTCTACTAAATTTTTTTTCTCTTTGCTAGCGCTTTCTCCTCGTTCCCGGATTTCAGCCGCCTTTTCTCACAGAGGAAAGTAGACTTGATCGTAATCTTTTTTATTATTCCTATATTCATGATTTTTCATGAATTTCTCTTTAGCCTTTTGGAATTCGGCTCTAGTTTTAGCATTTCTAATGTCTTGATAATCCTTTTTACTCTGTTCAGCTCAGTCATTTAGTTTTTCCAACATATCATTAGCATATCCCTGGCTTTGGGTGCCTTTTTTGTATTTATTTACTGCCTCTCATGCTTTTTTATTATTTGAGTCATTTTTGTAATTGTTAAGTGCGTTTAGTAGTTCGCCATTATCATCACTAGTAGCATTATCAATTTCCTGACATTTTTGCCAGATTTCGATAACTTTGTTTATATCAGTTTCTGAGTCCTTAATGTCGGTTATTATTTCTTCGTAAGCGTCTTTGCCATTAATTTTTAGACCAGCCAGCAAGGATTTTAATTCCCGACGGGCTTTTTCAAGTTGTTTTTCTTGGGAAGTTTTTAATTTTTCCAAGGCAGTTGCTACGCAATCTTCACTATCGCTGTCTTGATTCTTGACCTTTTTAGCAATTTCTAATGCTTTCTTTTTGTTCGCATCATTTTCACTATCAGAAATAAACCTTTCTAATTCTGTTTTAGTATTGGAAGTTTTCGTGCCGTGAGCCTCTTCCAACAATTTCACCAACTTTTTCAGTTCCTCAAATACCGATTTGGTAAATCCATCTTGGTCGGGTTGACAATTTTGATAAATCTTTTTGCCTAAATCGCTAGCCTGATTTTTCAGTCCGTCCAGTTCGGCTCGTCAATCAGGATTTTTTGAGGAAGGGTTGTCATTATCATTGAGGTGAGCCAAAGCATTATTTATTTCAATCAAAAAATTATCAATTACCGGCTTCCAAACTCCATTTGAAGTATAGAAACAAGTAGTTTTTCATTTTTCTAACTTGATTTTGGCTTCTTCTAGTTGAGTTTTAATTAAACTAGAAAAATAATTGGACTTACTAATTCATTTTTCATAATCGGTTATTCACTTACTAGCCAATTGATAGCCATCGTCAATTTTTTTTTTAGTATCTGGGTCATTATATTTTGGGGCATCAATGGCTCCAGCACCAGTGGCGTCGCCTGGAATTCTTCAATCACAACTAGCCGTGTCTTTTAAGGCTTTATAGTAGTAGTTTAGGTGTTCCAGTCGGCTTCAATCCTTTACTTCATTAAATTGAAGATTGACACTTGGATATTTTTTATCTCCCTTTCGTTTTGGGTTTCCTTTTCGAGTGGCTTTATCGCTTTGTGGTTCGTCGTAGTCTTTGCCAAAAAAAGCTAAATCCATGGCTTCCTCGGCATTTTGAGCAGAAAGAATGTCATAATATATCTTGGATTCGCCGCCAAAGTACCAGCCACCATTAACATAAAAATATTTGCCGTTAGTAGAGTCTTTTAAAACATCTCCCGGTTGAAAACCAAGACATTCCTCTGGCTTACGATTGGCAAAAACTTGAACATCATTACCATTTTTATCTTTAATTGTTTTCTTCTTAGTAAATACGTCTGCGTTTGGACCAGTGTAACCGGTGGCAAAATTGCGAAAATTATTAATTTTTTCTTCGGTGTAACGAACTGGCTTAGTCGGGTCTATTTTTTTTACTTTTAACTCATTATTAGCGGAGTCAAAATAGGTGGTTAAATTCGGGTCTAGGAGCGGAAATCCTCTATAGAAACCCGGCTCTTTGAGAGCTTTTCTAAGACTTTTTTCACTATATTTAGATGAAACAATAATTAACTGAGATTTTGTGGCAATTCCAATCTCATGTAACTCTTGTAAATAAAATAAAAATTTTATTCATTTATCTTTATAAATTTTCTTATCCTCCTTATCCTTTAAACCAAAAATAATGTGCTTGGTATTAGTTGGCTTTTTAGCAATTTTATCTCTTAATAACGGTTTACCGTAAAAGTAAGTTCATAACCCGGTTGCGGAGACCCCAGTTGTGGAGTCAGGAGGAGTACCGAGGTCACCAGTAAGGTCAGGTAGGTCGTCATCTGGACCAGTAAGAAAGTCTAAAATCTTACCATACTTAGGCTTCAAATTTTTTTCAATTAAATCTTCCAAGTTTAAAAGGTCTTGTTTTTGTTTGCTGCGGTCTTCTACTATTTTAATTTTGTTGTCGGGCTCGTCGTGATATCAAGTATCACTAATGCTTATTTTGCTTTTGTTCAGAACACCACCAAAGTCGTCTACTGACAATTTTAGGGTTCTAGCTTTAGATATTAAATTCTTTTTCGAAATTTTTCAATGGTCTCATCCGTTGTTTAGATCTTTATCAACGGTTAGTTCAAAATCAAGTTTTTTTTGGGCGTTGGTTCCAATTTCTTTAACGTCATATTTTAACAAAATAAGGTTACGTCAGGTGGTTAAAATGTCTGTGGGGCCAAAGATTTCTATTCTGCTAATGTCTGATCTATCAACAAGTTCAGTTAAAGTCGGGAATTGAAACTCACCAGTTCCAGCACCCATTAAGTCTCTTCCTACATTACCATTTGCTCCGTTTGCCGTCCCATTATCCCACGCCTCTAACGGAGCAGATAGGTTAATCGCAAGAGTGGATTTAAAATCGTATGAGTCAAAAAGATATACCTGGTCTCTTTCAGTTTCGATTTTAAGGTTAGTTGTGTTAGTTGTCATGGTTTTTATCCAGTATAATTAATTTTAGTCGACACTCTCCCTATAGAAATTGACAAGTTTTGATACCTAACTGTTTTTTTTTTTTTTTTTTTTTGCATGTTTCTGTGACTGATTATCATAATAATTATTTTATAATTAAATTTTATTTTGAGTCTTAGAATTTGAGTAAAAAAAGCCTCTTCGAGGTCAACAAAGAGACTTTTCGCAAACAAAGACCAACCAAAGAATTATCTTGGATTATTGAGAAGCAAAGTTGTAAATTAGTAGTTATTTTTCTTACTCATTTTGTAGATAACAATTCCAACCACAAATAAAATTATGGCTCCTACTCCAATTGCTACCGGTGCTACTCAATTCTTATTATCTTTTCCTTGCGAGTTTGTTCCTTCGGATCCAAATATTTCTTTTTCTAATTCATTTCGACTAATTGATTGTTTAGCTGTAGGATTTTGTTGAAAATAATTTTTTAATTCGGCTTGCTCGGAGGTTAGATTATTATCTTCCAAGGTTCTGGTTTTTTGTCCGTCTAATTCAATTATTAATTTGTTATCCCGGAAAGAAAATGCCACTACTCCTTCTTTTTTCATTCAATTTAGTAATTCCTGTAAAGGATTTTTAACTACTGTCTTTTTGTTCCACTTTTTATTGTTCTTTTTTTCATCTAATTTTTGGTTCATAAACTCTTTTAATTTTTTGATTTCATCTTTTAACTCCTTATTGTCCTTTAATTTTTGACAGCTAGCACATAAGTTTTCTCCAAGTCGTTTTTCGTAAGAAGGAAATTTTTTAAAACATTTTTCGCAAATTTCTTTTTCTTCCTCATAAGGTTTTTCTGGATTATTGAAGTCATCTTTATATTTATAATAATCCTCATTTTTACCATTCTTTTTGTTATAAGTCTCTTTACAATCTCAATCACAAAAAGTTTTCCCATCTAATTTTCAAGGAAAGTACAGGTCATTACGAGTTTTTCCACAACTCGCGCAAGTAAATTCTCGACTTAGTAAGTCAATTATATCAGAAATGTGTCATTTTTTATCGTTAACCTTCCATTTATCAGTAATTTCAGTAATCTTTGTTTTTCAATCGCTTACTCCTAATTGTGTGTTAAGTTTTTGGGCTGAGACATTTTTTCTAAGCAGCTCCTTTTCAAGGTAATCAATGGCATTGTCTTGTCATTCTTTCAACTGTTTATTTTTTCATTCTTCGTCTTTTCTTTTTTGGTCTTTTCAAAATTCATCTCATCAGTCGTCATTTTCTCTTTTTCATTTATCATAATCAAAGGAAGAAGAGTATGAATAACTGTAACCACTTCCGTAAGAATTATCCTCTTTTTTATCACCATATAAATCATATTCTCTTTTCTTGGCTGGGTCAGACAAGACTTCATAGGCATTATTTATCTCTTTAAATTTTTCTTCGGCCTCCTGCTTAGTTTTAGCATGAGAATTCCCGCGGTCAAAACTGTCTGGATGCCATTTTAAAGCCATTTGTCGATAAGCCTTTTTTATTTCCAATTGGGAAGGGTTATTTTCTTTTCTTAGTCCTAATGTTTCGTATAATTTATAAGTTGTGTGTGTGTGTGTGTGTGTGTGACATAGTAATTTTTAAATTTTTAATTTATTGTTATATTGTAGTTTTATATTTTTTTTGAATCAGGGACTGATTATTATTAATTATTTTCTTTACTTCAATTATGTTTTTTTAGAAAGTCATTGACGGCTTTCCTTTGTTCAGAAGTCAGTCCATCCTTTTCCTCTCTTTGTCGGTAGTCCGGATCCCCCTCATCTTTCACCGGCATTAAAAAAAACTTGCTCAACATATACTTAATCGCATAAGTTTCACTGGAACCTTTAGCTTTAGCTAAGTCCACATTACTTCCACACGCTCAAAAGTTAAATAGTAATCGTTGTTCGGGATTGGCACTATCCACTATCTCTAATTTCTTCAAGTATTTAACATAATGTTCTTTACCATCTTTTTCATGAATAAAGGGTTGAGTAATGTCATCGCTTAATAAGAGAGTTAGTTGATACTTCTCTAATAAAGGCTTTAATAATTGTAAAACTTGTAATTCATTGAAAAAGAAGTATTTTTGGAATTTGTTTTCCTCGGTGCGAATGAGTTCTTTAATTTGGGTTTGGATTGATTGGAGTTTAGTGTAGATATTTTGTTTTTCCATATCATTATTTATTCCTTAATTGGAGATAGAGCATCAGGAGGACCTATTTTCGCAAATTCCTCTAACAAGTTATCAGGGTGTATTTTTTTGAGACAGGATTCTAGTTCGCTTTCGTGAGTGGTTAAGTCTTCTTTTCCTTTGGCGATTAATAACAATTCTACTCCTTCATAGTCCAAAAACTCGCTGGTAGTAAGAGGAATAAAAGAATAGTTATCAAATTTATTTTGTAAAGAAGGAGGGAATTTGACTTTTTGCTTTTCGGGCAACCCCACTCCTGAGGAAGTAGCGGCTTGAGGATTTTTAATACTAATTAAGTAATCGCCTTCTTTTTGGAGATTGAATTCTTTTTGCGTTTCTTTAATTTGCGGAGGATTAGTTAATTGATAAATAAAATGGCTGTGATTGTTATGGGCCACCAATAAATATTTTCCAACTCCGAGGCAATGGGAAACTGGTAGGGTTCGCTCTCCTCTTGTTTTGGTTGAATAATGCTTTTCATTTAAGGATGATAATAATTCCTTTTTGCTAGTTTTAATGGCTTCTAAAAATAGAAAATATTTTTCTTTTTCAGTAGAAGGTAATTGTTTTTTTCCAACGATTAATAATTGATATTTATCTTGATTTTGGGGCTGTAAAACGAAAAAAAAACGCTGCACTCCTTCTTTCTTATCAGAACCGTTTTCAACTTTTGGGCGATGGAAGAAATAAACGCTACCACCTTGCAAAACATTAATTTTCTTTTCCATAACTTTTTATTTTAGTAATTTTTTTGTTGTCGCTCTCAATTGATTTTATTTTTTGCCATATAGGCATTTTCAATATCTTTTTCACTTTTCATTCCTAACTTTTGAGCTAGTTCTTCAAAAATTATTAGTCAGCGATAGAAACTGGCTTTATTTTTGTTCTCTTTAATTCCTTCTAAAAGGCTAATGTTTGTTTTTTTAATATCTTTTTTTATTTTCTCCATTTCTTTTTCGAATTCCTCTTTTTTCATGCTTTCTCCCAAATCATTTAAATTTTTTTGTCAACTTTTTTCAAAATTAGCAATTGCGTTCTGTTTGACTATACTAAAAGGAACTGCTAGAATAAACGCCTCTGTTTCTGAAAAAAGAGCCAGCAGCAGTTCATTGTAATCAGGCTCAGGGGCTAATTTTTGAAACTTATAATCGGAAAAATCAATTTGAAAACTGTTCGCTCAACTTAAATAAAAATGTAAGCAATCAATTAATTCTTCCTTGGCTTTATCTCAATTGACTTCTTTTTGGCTTTTTCAGTGTTTAAAAGTTTTTAGTTCGTTGGCTAATTCGCCAATTTCCACCAAGAGGGCAATCTTGGTACGAATAAAACTTTCTTTACTGTCCGCATCAGTCAGATTTTTTTTTTGACGAATAAATTCATCCAATTTTTTTTGTTCAGTTTGCAATTTTTTTAGGATTTCAGGTGTTAACATTTCTTAATCTAGTTTAGACTAATTTCTCTTTATTGTGAGTATTACCTGGCTACGACATTTTTGACATTTTTCTCAATTTCTTGGTAAACCTCAGGATTTTCTAGTAAGTAATCAATAACGTTTTCCTTGCCTTGGCCCAGTTTGTTCTCTCCATAAGAATATCAGGTTCCACTTTTTTGAATAATATTTAATTCAGTGGCTAAGTCAATGATTTCCCGTTCTTTTTGAATGCCTTGTCCAAAAATTATTTCTAGATTAACAGTTTTTAAGGGTTCTCCTACCTTGCTTTTTTTTATCAAGGCTTCTACCTCAATACCGACTACCTTACTATTTTTTTCAATTTTGCCGGTTGTTTTTAGTTTAATCCGAATGTCAGAGTCAAATCTCAAAGCCATTCCGCCAGTAGTTGTTTCCGGATTACCACCATAATGACCGGTAGAAATTTTGTTCCTCACTTGATTAATAAAAATGATAATGGTGTCTTTATTAGTCAATTCGTTTTTTAACATTCTTAATCCCTGCGACATTAATAAAGCATGCGAACCAATTTTATATTTTTCCAAATCAATCATTTGGGGGGCGAGATTAGAAACTGAATCCACAACGATTAAATCAGTGCCTTCCCTAATCAAATCCCTAATCATTTCAAAAGTTTTCACCGCACTATTAGGATACAAAATCATTAAATTCTCTTTATCTACTCCAATATTTTGGGCGTATTTGATATTTAATCCATTTTCCAAATCAATATAAACAGCTTTTTTTTTTAATTTTTGACATTCGCTGACCGCATGTAAAGCCAAGGTGCTTTTACCACTCGATTCTAGACCGTATATTTCCACTATCTTGCCGCAAACATAACCGCCGGTTCCGATTGTTTGGTCGAGAAGAAGGCTGCCCGTCGACAAAGTTTTTTGGTCTTTTAATTTACTTTCTCCTAAAGTAGTAATAGTGCCTTCACCGTATTCCTTAGTAATGTTTTCAATAATGCGTTTTATTTCTTGGGAAAGGGAAGGGTTTTTTTCAGTTCGGACTTCTTTTTTTTGGTTCATATCTAATATTTTTTTCTTGTTTGGCAAAATCTAAACTGATTTAATTCCTTTTTCCTCCATCAATAGTAATATTTTTTTTACGCTTTCTTCGGACGATAAATGAGTAGTGTCTAACTCTCAACTATCAGCAGTTTTTATCAGTGGGGAAATTTGTCGGTTGGTGTCTCTTTTGTCTCTTTCTTCTAATTCCTTTTTCACTTCTTCTGGGATTAGTTTTTTTTCATATTGATTATTTCTCCGGCGGGCTCTTTCTTCCAAACTGGCAGTTAAAAAAATCTTGACTTTGGCGGTTGGCAAAACTTCCGAGGTTATATCCCGACCAACTACCACTCAGCCTTTATTTTTGGTTAATTCTCGTTGAAAATTGAGGATGACTTTTCGCAATTCCGGAAGCGGAGACAGTTGGGAGGCCAAGTCACTAATCAGGGGCGAACTAAGTTGTACCCGCTCTTTTTCTAAAACAGAAACTATTTTTTCCGGGTTTTTTTCTAACCAGTTTTTTCAAAGGGAAAGCACTTTTCCTTTTTCAGGTTGAAGAAAACCATTTTGCTGGTAAAAAAGGGCAAAATGGCGATATAATAAGCCGCTGTCAAAAAAATGATAATTCAGTTTTTCCGCCAACAAGCGGCCAATGGTAGTTTTTCCGGAACCAACTGGCCCATCTATGGCAATATTAACTTTTACCATTTTTTTTCGAACTGCTTGACCCGTCCCAGAATATCACCACCACTAACCCAATCACCAATATTCCTACTCCTCCACCAATGTATCAATATTTTCATTGGTCTCAATGACTTTGGCTTTTTTGGCTATCGCCTAAAATACTAGCAGCCGCTCATTCTTTTTGTTCTTTTTCGGGAGATTTTCATCACTCTTCAAATTCCTTAAATTCAGGGGTTTCTCGAACCATTTTCTCAATGTCTTCCATTAAGTCGTAAAATAATTTTCCGTGACCTCCTCCTTCTTCACCATCATAATCAAGCTTCATAGTGTCAACTATGGAGTGGGCTAATTCGTGGACAATAGTTTCTACCGCGTTTTCAAAACAGATATCATGATAAAATCGTCTATTATTTTTTTCTTCCGCACTGTTTATTCATTCTTCATAGCCCAACCGATTAAAAAAGAGTTTTTTGCTAAGGGTAATTACTATATTGCGACGCAGACGTGCGTCGTTTTCTTCTTTAATGATTAATGCTGAAGTTCTGGAGGGGCCAGGGGGGTCTATATATCAACCGATCTCAACCGGTTTATTACAAGTAGTTAAACCAAAAGTTTCCATTCCTTCTGAGGAGTTTTCAAGGTCTTTTTTGGTAACGAAGCCACCATAGCCCTTAAAATGAATGACAGGGGGCTGACTGAGAAGAGCAACAAATTCTTCCCATCCTCCCTTTCCTTCTTTATTGTTCGCATTCAAAAAATAATTAATATCTTCCTCGGAGTTAGGGTTTGCCTTTCTCCCATTAATCATGAATGGAATAAAACCGCGAGTTAACAATTTTTCGCCGTGTTTGGGAATGAATTCCCGGGCTTGGTGGTGTCATTTTATTAATCATTCGTTTATTTTAGGTTGCATATCTCCCCATTCGGAAACAAAGGACTCTTCCCACTTTTTTTGAAATTCTTGTTGTTTTTTTACTTCCTCATAAGATCGGTTGGTGGAAGTTTTTTCTTTTATTCTTATTAGTGTTTTGCCGTCCTCGTAAAGTTTCGCATAGAGGGGGGCTAACATCTCAGGATTTTCCTCCTCCATTTTTTTTAAATCTCAGCCTTGCAGATCTTTATATATTTTTTTGCTAATTTTATCCAGTTCGTCCCGCACTTCTTCTTTTTCTTTGCTTGTTAATCTTTTCTTTGTTATTTTGTCATTTAAAACCCTTTCAGCGGCTTTTATCCGGTCTCGATTGTTAGCGATTAGTTTACTAACCTCTTTTTGAGTGGGAGAATTCGTTCATTTTCCAAGTTCGCTTTCATAATCATAATTTGGCTCGGTCTTTGTTGGTCATTTTCAGTAAATCAAGCCACCCGCTAATGAAGCCACTAGCAAGAATAAAAAGACATAAAGTAAAGTGTCATCGCTGGCTTTATTTTTTCGTGAATTCTTGTCAGTATTTTCCATATAAACTATTTAAATAATTTTTTACTTCCTCGCGACCTATTCTTGTCTGTTTCATATTATCCCGCTGGCGGAGAGTAATGGTGTTATCTTGGACCGTTTGAGTGTCTAAGGTGAGGCAATAATAAGTGCCAATCGCGTCTTGTCGACGATAACTTTTGCCAATATTGTCCGTTTCCTCGTAAGCCACTGAAAAATTACTGCTTTTTAGCAATTCGCAATACAATTGATAAGCCTGGGTTCGGATTTCTTTTTGTCCCCTTTCTTTACCAACTGGCAAAGGAATAATAGTGACAAAATAAGGTGCTAATAGTGGTGGTAATTTCAATACTTCTCTTTCGTTGTCTTCGCCACGAGAGTTTTTTACTATTTCTTTCTGATAACTGTCCTCTAATGTGGCTAACATTAACCTTTCTAAGCCAAAAGAAACCTCAATGACAGTAGGAATAACCCCGTCAATACTGAAATCTTTTCCCGAATATTGACTATGTTGGGAAAGGTCATAATTACTGCGGTGGCTATTGCTGCATAATTCCCCCCAACCAAAATGATAATTAAAATAAAGGTCCTGTGTCTTTTGGGCATAATGGGGTAATTCTTCCGGGGCTAAGTTTATTTGCTTAATTTTCTTTTTGTCATTGACGATAACTTGGTTAAGAAAGTCCCAGGCTTTTTTCGTTCAATATTCTCACCATTTTTCACTTTCGTTCGGGAGACAAAAAAACTCTAATTCCATTTGCTCGAACTCTCGCGTGCGGAAAATACCGTGATGGAGCGTAATTTCATTGCGAAAACTTTTGCCGATTTGGCCGATGCCAAAAGGTAGCGGTCGATGGATGCTTCTTTGAATAGCCGAAAAATTGGTGAAAATTCCTTGGCAAGTTTCGGGTCGCAAATAGACAGTATTTTCTTTTCCGTCCGTAATTTCTAGATTAGTAGTTAGAAGCAAATTAAACTGCCGGGGGGGATGAAAATCATTTTTGCCACAATTAGAACAATTGTTTTTCAGTGAGTAATTATTTTTGTCCTTTCTTTCCAAAAAAGCAGTAAATTCCCCCGTTGTGATTAAATTATCCAGCCGATATCTTTTGTGGCATTGGCGACATTCTGCTAATCAATCGTGAAAGTTTTTTAAGTGTCCTGAAGCCTCCAAAACTTGAGGATGAGTAATTATTTGACTATCGCAACTGACATTATAAGGGCTAGAAGTGATAAAATACTTTCACCAGAGATTTTTTAAATTCCTTTTTAATTCGGCTCCATAGGGGCCTAAGTCTCACGACTTAGCTAGACCCCCATAAACTTCGGCATTAGGAAGTAAAAACCCGCAATGTTTCAGATAATTGGTTATATCTTTTTTTTCGGCTGAACTGCTTTCCGGCATTTATATAACCTATTTTACTTTTGCTTGCTTTCTTCTTCTCACTATCACTATAGCGACTACTGCCAAGACTGCTAGAATAGAAACAGGAACAATTACTTCCGGACGGAAGAAACCCGTCTCTTGTGTTTTGTTTTGAGAAACATTTTCTAAATCTTTAAGAGCCTTTTCCACTTTGTCTTTTTTTGTTTGATAGGCTTTTTGCTGATAAGGATTAGTGCTTAATTTCAAACTTCATAAATCCCTTTTTATCTTTTCGAGTTGACTTTTTAGATTACCAGCCGTGGCATTTAATACTTTTTGGGCTTGATTCAGCAAGTTATCCGTTTCCACCACTGCTACCTCTTCACTAACTTTTTCGCTAACCTCCTCTTCTACTTGTCTTACCTCAACATCACTAGTATATTCACCATTCTTTAACTTATTTAACTTGTCTTGGATTATTTGTCCCAACTTATCAATTTCCACTTTAAACTCATTTATTTTTTTTTCTAATACTTCCGCCATCATTTTTCCATAACCTTGAGGGTCATTTTTGGCTAATTCATCTTTTTTTTCAGTAATTTTGGTTTTTTGCTCTTCGCTGATTTTTCCTTCATTTTTTGATTTCTCAATCTCGGCTAATTTATTTTCTTTTTCCTGATCAGTAGTATTTTTAGAAAGTCCTTGTAGAGCATTAGTTATCTTAGCAGATACTTCTTCATCTTTTTTAGTCTGGTTCTGTTTAACTTCTTCTTCAACTTTAACTCGCTTTGTTTCGCGAGAGTCATTATCATTGCCGCCATTCTTTCTTTTTTTATTGTTGCCAGAATTGTTGGAGTCATTTGTGTCTGGTGAACCACTAGAACCAGGAATTTCTTCGTTTGTTCCGGAATTATCGTTAGTTTTTGTTGGTTGGTTAGTTGAAGATGATGGATTTTCAAAGTCATACTTTCATCCTCGTGCTACGGAGATCCAATTGATTTTATCCTTAAATTTTTCAAAAGATTCACCAGTACCATTTCAAACAGTATATTCATTATAATTATAATGATCACTAAATACTTCTTTTTCTATTTCACTACCGTATTTCGCTATCTTTATTAACTCACTTGCTGCCATCACTGCCTCATTAAACTTAGCCAAATCCCCTTCTTTTTCAACTTTATAATCTATTTCGAGTATTTCCTTCCAACTTTTTTTAGCCCTTTGAATAGCCTCATATATTTTATTGCTGGCCGCATTCCGCAACTCCTTTTGTACCTCTCATTTTGTTTTTTTTCTGACTCTAGTTGTGCCAACTTCTGCTAAATCCAACTCACTTTCAAAGGAAGTTATTTTCAACGTTTTATTATGTCCAATATATTCAATTTTTTTACCGGAAAAATTTTTTAAAACATATTCCCCGCCTTCCTTCAAATATTCACTAAGTTCCTGTATTTGCTCCTCTGAACTTGTTTCGTAAGAATTAGGGCATTTAATCAAAATTAAAGAAATTATTCCTTCTCCTGGACAAATTCACCCTTCAGCAAAGTTTTTTGGCTCGGCTAAATGTAATCCTATGCTATTTTCATCTGCTCAAAATTTATCATCCTTTTTCCCCAATCTAAAACGTAATTCATTAGGTCATTCAAAAGTTTCTAATGGAATATTTCCTTGCACTTCAAAAGTTCTATAATTAGAAAAGCCAATATTACGGCTAGATTTCTCTGTCCCTGAATCTAATTCTATTTTTACTCACTTATCTTCATATTTACCATAATGTATTCGGTTTCCTCCTTTAACGAATAGGGAATTAATTTCTCTTCCATTATGATTAATCGTTTTAAATGGCACAATAAACTCTCCTGAACTCTCATTCCAATTCATTTTTTCTATTTTAGTAATTATTTTTATTGTCATATTATTATTATATTGATTATTTAAATTTTTTTATTTTACTTTTTCTATATGTTTTATTTTATAAAGTTTTTGGAATGAAATTGTCATTTTTGCCAAAACCTAACTTGAACTGGCTGAGAAAATTTTTTGTTTATTCCTTTAATTCTCCTGCTTATTTCTTTTATTCATTGTCTTTTTTCTTGGCGAGTTCTCTTTCCAAATAATATAATTTAGCCCGTCGAACTTTTTGATTAATTTGCCCAATTTTTTTAATGCCGACAATGAGCGGAGAATGATAAGAATAAGTGCTTCGAATTGCTACTTTATCACTTCCCTTGCTATCCTTTAACACTGAAAAAGTATAACTGATTTGTCCTTTATTTTTTTGAGTAATTACCGTGCCTTTGAAATGGGTTAGCCGATATTTTGACTTTTCATCATTTTTGGCTTTTTCAGTTTTGTTAAAATTCTTGATAGTAATTTCTACTTTGTCGCCAACTTGTAAGGGAGGTAAATCAGTGCGAAAATATTGTTTGGTTATATCACGAATGGTATCCATAATTTAATTTTAGGTGGTAGTGATGATAAAAATAATCTAATTATTGTCGTATCTCTTCTAATTGCGACGGTTGAGGAAAAGTTTTTTTAACTCGAAAATCAAACATGATATTATCATATAAAGGGATTGGCTTGATTCGCTCTCCTTCTTTTTCTAACTTAATAACTCCCATCGCCACTAAGGATTTCACATCTTTATAAACATTGGCATAATCACGGTTTAGTAATTTAGCTAATTGATAAAGGGATTGGGGTTGTTTTTCTACTAAACAAGCAAAAAGTCTTGGTCGCGGAGAAATAAATTCTTCCGTAATGTCCTTGATATTGGCAAAACTAATTTGATGCAAATGAACGGATGGTTTGCCAGTTCGCACGGCTTTTAGCATTTCTTCCCCCATTCTTTCTAAGGAAATGGTTGGATCATATTTAAAAATAAAAGTTTTTTCTTTTTTCATAACAACTTGTTTTTTAAAAAATATCACCAAATTTCTCATAAACCTTTTGGTAAAATAAATCAAGGGCTTGTTCTAATGAAACCCATTCTAAATTTACAATTGGTTCTCGGTCAAGATGATAATGAAATCCTTTTTTTATGTTATAGTCAATTAATATTCTTTCTTCTGGATTATCTTTGTTACAAGCAATTCAACCAAATTTTAGTCCATCAGGATATAGATGCCTTTTTGGTTCAGGAACTAATCAAATATCCATTTCGATAATAATTGTTTTTCCTGAACTGGTGAAAAATTTTCCTTTCTTCCAGTAGATTAAATTTCCTCCATCCATTTAACATCTATATTATTATTTTATATGTTTTAAAGAATATAGGTGTTGGTTTTTATTTTTCTTACTATCAAGTCGAATTTCAAGGTCCGGTTATCTACAAAGAATCTTTGTATAGTATGGTTAGAAAAAAATAAAAAATCTATTAATAACATGTCTTTTTCTCCTAAATACGATTTTTGCTTAACTGAGAAAAATCCTCAAACAAATTATTGGAAGAAAAAAGCAACGGATTCTGCTACTAATTTTGCTGGCACTTTGTTGCTTCCACCTCCTAATATTACTGGTAATTTACATTTAGGACATGCTTTTGAATCAGTAATTCAAGATTTTTTAGTTCGTTTTTCTCACCTCAATCAGAAGCCAATTTATTGAATTGCCGGAATTGACCACGCTGGAATTTCCACTCAGAGCAAAGTGGAGAAATTAAATCTTCCTCTCTTAAAAACTGACCAGCAAAAAAGAGAATATACCTTTCAAGTCTGATATCCTCAAACTCGGCAAAATTTCTATCATCAATGAGAAAAAATGGGCTTATTAATTGACGCTGAAAGAGCCACTTTCACTCTGGACCCAATTATTCAAAAACAAGTGCGGGAAGCCTTTGTCAGACTTTATCGGGAGGGGTTGATTTATCGGGGCGTGAGATTAATAAATTGAGACCCGAAATTAAAAAGCGTAATTTCGGATATTGAAGTAGAGCACAAGCCCGCCAAAAGTAAATTATACTATCTAAAATATCCTCTCTGTGATAGTGAAGATCATTTATTGGTTGCTACTAGCCGCCCAGAAACTATTTTTGCGGATGTGGCCTTGTTTATTAACCCGCACGACCCACGCTATCAAAAATACCTTAACTGCCAAATAAAACATCCTTGGACAGAAAAAATTATCCCAATTTTGGCAGATGAAAGTATTAAAATTGATTTTGGCAGCGGAGTTTTAAAATGTACTCCCGCGCATGATTTTACTGATTATGAATTAGGAAAAAAATATCAATTACCAATAATTAGTTGTACTAATGAAAAAGGAGTATTAAATGATTTAGCAGGAAAATGAAAGGGGCGAGAAATTAGTAGTATTCGCAAAGAGTTTGTTAAAGAATTAGAAAAAAAAGGTATCTGTGCTAAAGTTGAAGAATATGAGACCAATTTGGCTTATTCTTCGAAGTCGGGAGTGATAATTGAACCACTTCTTTCTCAACAATGATTTTTAGATTTGCCGGCCTTAATTAAGCAAGTAGAAAAAAAACAGCCCAATTTTCTAACCAAAATAAATTTTACCACTAGTCAATTCCGAAAAACTTTAGAAGAGTGGTGCAATAGGGCTCATGAGTGGTGTATTTCTCGCCAGTTATGGTGAGGACACCAAATCCCTGCTTGATATCATAAAAAAACTGGTGAAATTTATGTTGGTGAAAATCCTCCTATTCCCGAAACTGAATGAGAACCTGAAAAAGACGTTTTGGATACTTGATTTTCCAGTGGCTTATGACCGCTGGTTGTTCGGGCCCAAGAAGGAGAAAAATTTCCTTCACCTCAGCCTAATTGTTATCCGATAACTGCTCTTATTACAGGCTACGATATTCTTTTTTTTTGAGTGCTAAAAATGATATTGTTGGGAACTTATTTTACTGGCAAAGTGCCTTTTCAACAAGTATTATTACACGGCCTAATTAGAGACAAATATGGAAAAAAAATGTCAAAATCATTAGGTAACGGAGTAGAACCGGACGAATTAATAGAAAAATATGGTTGTGATAGTTTGCGGCTTTTTTTATTAGAGAATAATGTGTGGGGTTCGGATTTGATTTACGAGGAAAGCAAAGTGGTTGGCAGTTGACGTTTTTGTCAAAAATTATGAAGTATTAATAATTTGATAACCAGCAAAATCCCAACCACTGAATTAAGAAAAGTTAATAAGGAAGATTTAAAAACTTTATAAACCATAAAAAACAAAAATATAAAATATTTTCCTAGTCATGAAGAAGCAAATATTGTATTCTTTTGTGGATGAGAAAGTTCAATGGAAAAATAATCCTTTTTTAGAATTCTCTAAATGACTAGAAAAGCGTAATAAGTAATGAGCAAAATATTAACACTAAAATAATATTAATTAAAACAAAAGAAATTAGTTATAGTAATGAGAAATAACAAACTAAAACAATTAAATTTAAATCCTTTAGCAGTAGCCAAATATTTTTACGAAAAGTTGGGATCAAGAGCGACCGAACAACCTTTTATTCATCCAGTTCTCTATCTAACTTACCGCGAAATACTAAAAAAAGAAAATCTTAGTCTCTTTAAGGAGGGATTTGAGGACTGAGAGACTACTCCTGTTCTTCCTAGTGTTTATGCTTATTTAGAAAAAAATGAAAAACCACCCTTTCGCCAAATTCCTGACATTACTAATGAAATAGTTCTTCATCACCTAGAAAATATTTGCCGTCGTTATCAACGCCAATACAAAAACGGAGAACCAGAATTATTTACTTGTGATTTACAGTTTAAGGCTCAAAGGCTAGCCGGAAATTTGTAATTTATGTTATTTTCTTTTGAGTGGCTAATTACTAAGTGCATTGCTGACCCAACTTTTACTAATCGCTTAGAAAAAAGTAAAGTTCGTGGTATTCTATGCAGAATACTAAAAAAATTTACTGAATATTCGGCTTATACTTTGGAACAACTAAAAGATAATGACCGACATTTTCGCTTTATTGCTAATGAAAAACAAAAGAAATTAGTTATTGAAAAAAATAGTAAATATCATTGAGATAGAAAAAATATTAGCTCTTTGTTGAGGGTTAGTCAAATTTGTCAATTATCTTTGGGTAGTGAGGGAGAACGAGTAATTGGTATTCTTCGAAGAATTAATAATTCCCAGAAAAATCCCGAAAGAGATCATTTATTTTGACCTTTACACTTAGATTTTGAGCATCTTCTTTATCCTAATCGAAAAAAGAAAGATGTTAGTAAACTTGATTTAGTTTGTATTATGGAAGAAGGAAATTGTCATTAAATTTTATCATAAAAATCATGGAAACCAAATCATCTGAAAATATTAAAAAAAAACTTGCTGAAAAAGAGGAAGAATTGAGAGAAATTTGAGAAGAATTAAGAGCCGAAAGAGAGAAACCAAAAGAGGAAATTATTGAAGAGTTGAAAGGAATTAAGCGCACAACTGGTCAACACCCCGGAGGGCTCCTGATTACTTTGCCTAACACGGACATTCAAAAATATACACCCTTGAATTATCCGGCTGATAACCGCCAATCAGAGTGAATGACTACTCATTTTGAATATAGTTTTTTGTCGGAAATATTTCTCAAAGTTGACATTTTGGGACATGACGAGCCCACTGTCTTACAAAAATTATTTCAATTGACCGGGATTGACCCCACCAAAATCTCCTTCCAGGACAAAAACATAATGGAAATGTTTACTAATGCTGACACTCTTGGAATACCGGAATTTGGCACCGATTTCGTCAAGAGAAATTTATTAACTCCTTTAAAACCAACCAAATTTTCCCAGTTGGTTCAAATTTCAGGCTTCTCGCACGGCACTAATGTTTGAACTCAAAATCAACACACCATTTACAAAAATGGTCAATTGTCTTTGAGTGAATTAATTGCTTGTCGGGAAGATATTTGAAATTTCTTAGTTTCCTGAGGGGTAGATAATAAAAATGCTTTCATTGCCACCGAGTTCATTCGGAAAGGAAAATGAGAAAAATTATCAGAAGATATTAAAGAGGAAATAAAAAGTAAGTTGAACGATAAAGAAGGTGAATTATATTTTTCCATTCTGAGTAAAATCAAATACATTTTTCCCAAGCCCCACGCCATTGCTTACACCATGACTGCCTGACGAACTGCTTTCTATAAGGTATACCATCCCCAAGAATTTTATTCGGTTCTTTTAACTTACCACACAGACGTTTATGACATTTGATTAATGACCTTAAACCCAGAAACTATTAATTTTCGATTAGAAAGACTCCTAATTAATCCTCTTAATTATAAAAATAATGAAAAAGAATTATTATCAATTATTAAAGTTTTCGAGGAACTTAATAAAGAAAAAAGAAGAATGGAAAAGGCAGCCAAAGGCAAGAAAATTTCCGGAAGTGCTTTAGAAAAAATGGATATTGACAAGATTTTAGAAAGTGTTCGCGAAAAAATAAATAGTTCGGGAGATAAAAACCTAATCGAGAGTTTGCAAAAAAATGGTAAAACCTGAAAATTAACCGCCAAAGAAAAACATCTATTATTCACTTTAAAAGTAGTTTTGGAAATGGAAATGAAAGGCTTGAAATTTGCCCGTGGTTTAGATTTTAATAATTCAGAAATTAAAGATTTTAAAATCGAAAACAATACTATTTATTTTCCTTTTACGGCTATTGCGGGAATTGGTGAAAAGTTGGCGGAAAAAATTATTGCTTATCGACAAGAAAAAGGACAAATTACTAATAATTGAAAGGAGGAATTAACTGGAGTATTAAATATTAATCATATCCAGCAGTTAGAAAATCTAGAAAAACATAATTTAATAATTAACTTGGAGGCAAAATAAACCCACTATGTATCATAAGGTATTTTCAAAGTTAAATCTTGACCTTGTAATTTCTCAAGCACCTTTTCAATAACTCTTCCTAGGAGTCTTTGTTGATGATAATAATTTTTTATTATACTAAAAAGCAATTCTCTACTTGGTTAGAGGTTATATAATGGCTAGCATTAAAAAAATCTTATCCAACTTTTTCTTTTTTTAGTTCCTCAACTAGCGCTTCAGCATCTTTAAGTAATTTATTAATTTCATCAGTTAACTTCTTTTCTTTTTCGATATACTGGCTACGAAGAACCTTTTTTTGCTCAACTTGCTTTAATAAGTCCTCAATTTTTTCTTTTTTATTCATGTTCTATATTATCTATCCGAGCACTATATTTCACTAAAAGAGATTTTATTTCACAATAAAAATTATTAAACATTTCTTTCACTTTTAATTTTTTTCTCATACTTCTATTTGCCTCAATTTTTTCTTTTATAAGACTTGATTTATTTTTTATATAGACCTGTCATCTCTTTCCTACTCTTAAGTTTCTTTTTTTTAATAAATCTATAAATCTTCTAGTCCCAAAAAAAGATATCGCTGCTATGGGAACAACTAGGACAAAAACTTTTATTACATTTTTACTGTCGTTTGCTTTTTGTTCGTCTTGATTAGTAATTGAGTTTCTTTCACTTTCAAGTTCTTTAGTTGCTTCTTTATATAAATACTTATCAATTTGTTCTTCGGTTAACTTCCCATTCTTTGCCAGTTCATTTAATTGTTGGTAATAGGCTTTCATTTTTTTAATTTTATCTTCTTTATCACTAGAACTTAAATTATCAAACTCAAAACGTTTAATAATTTTAATTATTTCTTCGGGAGATTTAGTAGTAATAAAAGTGTCTAAGTCTTCAATCTGATATTTAGTTTGAATTTCTTGTAAAAATTCAGGATTATCTTTAATTGGATTAATTAAGTTTTCTACATTCTCTTTAGTGTCAAAGTTGGAAAGAGAGGAGAATTTAGAGAAAATTTGAGGAGAAATTTCGAACTGTTTATTTTCTTCGCTTTTAAACCGTTTTCTAATCTCTTCTAACTCTTTTTCCTTCTCTTCAATCTTCTTTTGAATTTCTTCTTGTTGCTGAGGGTTTTTAATTTTGCTGCTTTTTAATTGTTTTATTTCTTCTTCTAAATTAAGAACTTTTAATTTATTGTTAATTTCTTTAAGCAAATGTCTTTCCGAGTCAAATAAATGAATAATTTCTTTTAATTCTTCCAGCGCTTTTTTACAATTTTCTAACTCATGTTTTTCCAAGCCCTCCAACTTTTCTTTTGTGGTTTCTCCTCTTGAAATTATTAGAGCAATTTGGTGTTGATAAGGCGTTGCCTTGCTTTGAATAGTTTGTAGTTCAGTTTTAGCATCTTGAAGATTATTGTCTAAACTAGTTTCTTTTTCAATTTTTTCGAGAATATTAAGTAGCATCATTAATTCACTTCAATTATATTTTTTCTCTTTTTGGTAAATTTTGCAAAAACTATCTTTTAAATCTTTAGTTTCTTTATTGATTTTTGGGCTTGATTCTTGCCTTTTTCCTTCTTCTTCAACTCGGTTTTTAAATTCTTGTTCTTTTTGCTGAATTTCCTCTTCTTGATTTTTCTTTTTTGTTTCTTCCTCCTGAGTTTGTTGCTTCTCTTGCTTAATTCTTTGTTCCTCTTCTTTTTTTAATCTTTCTTTTTTTGCTTCGGAGTATTTTTGCCAAGTGTTGGCAAGACCTTCTAAATAACCAAAATGCTGCTTTTCTTTGATTTCTAACTCTTGTTTATTGCGATGACTCATTATGCCATACTCTCAAAAATCATAGTCCTTACCAATTTTATCTTTATAGTTAATTGCTCGGGCTTTTCTTTAATCTTTTCAATGACTTGCTCTTTTTCCTTATCAAATCGCTTACCTTCTTGGATAATAAGGTTTCACAAACTTTCTCCCAGCTCTCCAAGTTGCTTATAACTTTTTATACACTTATTAAGGTGAGTAATATGTCATTCTTTTTCTTCTTCAGGAGTGCCTCCTCAACATTCACAGTCACCACCATATGGACGAAGATTGCGATAAGGTCTGCCTAAACTATCATTACCCAGTTCTTTTCAATCAATGTTAGAGCAACTGAGCCTTGCCTCAATTAACTTTAGAAAAGAAATTTTGTCTTTTTCTTTGATTACCATGATTGTTTGTTTATTATGCTTTATTTAATAATAGTTTGCGAAAGAGTATCTTCTCAAGTATCAAAAAGCTTTTTAAATTCATTTTTAAAACTTATTGCGAAATTATTATCAGAAGAACTTGAATAATCATAAGAAATGGTTATTGAAAAAAACATATTTCTCTCATCTGGTGCAAATATTTGCTCAAATGTCTTTTTCTTATCGTAGGGTCTTATTTTTTGTGTTCCTCAGTGACTAAAAACTTCTCAAGGATTTTCTCCGCTGGGTCTATAAGTTATTCTTTCCTTTCCAAGAGTATCTTCCAAACTGTTTAACAAAATAGCTAACAATATTTTCTTCTCACTTGAACCTCAACCATCGTATTTATATTTACCTGTTAATGTAGGATATTCTGCCTGTTTCTCTTTTTTAATATTGCCGTTTTTTTTTTTCGTTTATATCGACAATATTTGCTTGTAGTCAATCATAAAACCCCCCCCCCCCCCCCCAATCTCGTTTTTTATTTTTTATTTCTTCTAACTCCTTTTGAAATTTTTCTTTTACTTTTTTTTCTTCTTTAACTAGTTCTTCTTGACAGTTAATTTGTCTCTCCCTCTCATTAATTTCTTCATCTTTTTCTTGGATGGTTTCCTCTAAATTATTAACTTTTTCTTCTAATTTTGTTTTCTCGCGTTTTAAATCCTCCGCTTCCTTAACTTTTTCCCTCAACTTTTCCAATTCTTCCAATCTTTTCACTAATTCCTTTTCTACATTTTTTTCTGATACTGGTTTATCTATAAATACTTCCTCTTCATTATCTATGGTGTAAGCACCACGAATAAGTTTTTTTTCTGAAATGTCAAAAGTTAAATAAAGAGGATAAGCGATGTCTTTGCTTTGTGTTATTTCCAAACTTTCCATTAATTCATGAGGAATATCAATTTGAACTCATTCATCTTCGTTGTCTTCTAAATAAAATCCGTATCTTTCATAATTAGGTTTATCTTTTCATTTTGTAGTAAACATGTAATTTCTTTCCTCTACTTTTAATTTAACATAATTGCTGGGTATTGGTTGTTTAAACTCTTCCCTGTTTAATATTTCTTGAATATTTACTGTTACTTGATTTATTATTTGCTCTTCTGCGTAAAGTTTTGTATGTGTCATAGTTTATTATTATATCTAATAATGCATTCACGACCACTAAAAACAATTAAGTTTATTTACAAATAAGAAGTAGTGGTTGATTTAGGGTTATTCTTCTTATTAGTTTTTATTCTTTTGACCATAGGCATTTTAATATTTATTTATTACTTATTGGTTTTTTTTAAACAGAACTGATAAACTGTCTTTAAGTTTAGCAATTTAGAAAGTATTCTATCTGACCTTTCTAGCTTGTTATTGTTTGAAATTTATTTATATATAGATAATGAGTTAATAATTTATTGTTTTATCTAATCATTTTGTTTATATCTGCTTAAACTAATATAGGGCAGAAAATCAAAACACTAAATACGGCATTTTCAGAATTAATTTCCGCTTTTTAATTAAAATTACTTCCATCTAATAAACATTTAACCATATTTTTTGATTTTCTAAAAATTAACTAGCCAAAATTCTACTAAACTCTTTATTTAACAAGAGTTCAAATCACATCTCTTATACATGCGACAATACTATGTATATAAAAAACTATAATATAGATGATTTAGTAAATGCTTTTTTGTTAGACAAATACGGAAATATTGTTGAGAGAGAGAGAGAGAGAGAGAGAGAGAGAGAGAGAGAGAGAGAGAGAGAGAGCAATGGCAACTCCAAATCTTATTTACCTTGGATTTTAGGAGGGATTGGATTAGTTTCTTTGATTGGGGTGATTGTTTATTTTGCTACTCAAAAAGGAAAAGGAGAATAATATGCCTAAAGAAAATTGTGTTGAATGTGGAAAAGAATATATAGAAAATGTTTATTTCCATAGACATTTTGGTCGTTATGATAAATCTTTTGGCTCCTTTTTATGTGACACTTGTCGAATAATCAAAGGCAAAGAATTGACACTAATTTTTACTGATTGAGTAGATATTCATCAGGATTTTTGATACTGTCCATACTTAAAAGATCATTGAGAAGAAAAAGGTTTTACTTGCCAATAAGTTTTGGCATTAATCCTTCAATCTTGTTTCTCTTCTATTTTTTTAATAATTTCCTTGTATTCTTTAATTTTATCTTTACAAACACCACAATCTATTTTTTTATTCATATACATAGTTTTATAAAAATGAAACTGATAATAGTTTTACTTTTCTCAAGATGGTTTCATAAATTCTTCTTGGGAAATTTCTCTAACCTTATCTTCTTGGGCTTTTCCACTTCAACCACAAGAACAATTAAATATTCTGTTTTCAAATAAAATTTCTTTTTTCTTGGTAGCAAAATTTTGTTGTCTATCACATTGAGGACATAATAAAGTATATATCGTTGTCATATAATCAATTTTACTCCTTCTCTTTTTTCTCTTTATCTTTCTGCTTCTGCTTTTCTCGGGTTTCTCTCTGTTGTTTTTCTCTTTCCCTAGTTCGGGCTTCTCGTTCTTGTCGTTCACGGTCTTTTTTGTCTTTTTCTCATTGGGCTTCTCGTTGTTTTTTCTCCCTTTCAGCTTGGAGTTCTCGTTCTCGTTGGTTTTCTCTTTCTAAGTCTCTTTCCCGTTCTCGGTCTTTTTCTTTTTCACGTTCGAGTTCTCTTTCTAACTGTCTTTCTTTCTCGCGTTCTTTTTCTCTTTCTTTCTCCTTTTCGAGTTCTTTTTCAAAGTCTTTTTCGGTTTCTCCGGGGGACTCTTTGAGTTCTTGCTCTGGTTTATCTCATTCTTGTTGTTGCTCAAGTTCTTGTTCTGGTGGTTCACCTTCAAATCCTTTGGGGTCAGTTTCACCAATTAGAGAGTTAAATTGGGTGTTGTCATCAGTTCACTCTGGTTCAGTGAATTCTTTAGTTTCATAGGTTTTTTGACTATCGATTTCTTCCTTTTCGGCTTTATATCTAATACCAAAACTTTTGCCACCTAATCTTCAAGTAATAGTCTCTCCATTCGGAACAAAACCATAAGCATTTTTAAAAGAACCACCTTCTGACTTTTCCTGGGTGGCTTTTTCTCAAACATCTCCTTGGGAGCCTAATCGACCAGGTTGTCCATTCACAGTTAAATGATATTCAGAAGGTGTAGCTTTTCCCATTTCAGTAAATCACGGCTCAAATGGTAATCCTTTGTGGATAGTATCTCAACTATCACTGTCGCCATTTCGGTAATTACTATGGAGGGCATCAAATAAAGGAGTTTTTTGGGCTCCACAGCCAATACAAGTATAAATATCAACCATCTTTTTAACTGGTTTAGAAAATTCTAAAATAAATGCTCCGTGGTTGTGTCCATCAACTAATTCACTATTATTAAACTGAGGATACAGAGCCATTCAGTGTTCAGTGGTGCCATCTTCATAAAAAATAAAGTAATGTCCTCGTTGGTGGAAGTTAGAACCTTTTGGTCGGTTGACTTCAGCCATTTCTTCATCATCTATTTCGTAGATTTCTTCTTCACCGACGATATTGCCAATGTCGGCTAACGAACCAAAAGTATAGCTTTCCGTTAATAATTCAACACTCAATCAGAGTCAACTTTCTTAATATCCCTCAATCAAGCAGCAAAATCATAGTCAGTAGGTTTTAAACCGATATCAATTCATTCTTTGGTTTGGGAATAATTAAACCCGAGTTTTCTCCATTGGTCTTTTAATTCTTTGGTGAAATTAAGACTAATATTGCTTCAATCCTTCCCATCCTGGCTGCTGCTTCTTTTCTGGGGTTTTTCTTCGGGTTTTTTATACCCCTTCTCAGTTCAATTTAAGATTAATTCTTTAAACTCTTCAGGCACCTTGCCTTCTTCTCTCTCACTTACTCCCAAATAAACCTTTTCACCTTGACTATTCTGTAAGCAATTAAGAAAGTTATTTAGACAATTTCAATCATTAGAAGGCTGCTGCTTATAATCTTTTCCGAAACTACTCCCCAACTC